ATCCAGTGGTCCTGGATTGGAGAGGGCGCAGGCCCGGCTGAAGGACATCCCTCGTGTGCACGAATTTTGTGCACTGGGCCTCTAGTAATAATAATAACAATAATAATAATAATAATAAAATGCCAACAAACATCTCAGGAATAAAAGTTTCGACAGCAATCTTCCAAGGCTGACACAAGCCAACAAATGTATATTTTTTTCCTCTTTGAAAACACTGGTGGCCCGCCCGGCGGGGCTCAGTGGTTGGGCATCAACCTATGTACCAGGAGGTCAGGGTTCGATTCCCGGTCGGGGCACAGGCCCGGGTTGCGGGCTCCATCCCCAGTGTGGGGCGTGCAGGAGGCAGGTGATCCATGATTCTCTCTCATCATGGATGTTTCTCTCTCTCTCTCTCCCTTCCTCTCTGAAACCAATAAAACACAAGAGAAAACAAAGCACACAAAAAAAACACCTGAGAATTAAAACCTGAATAACGAACGGTACACACTCGTAGATGAGAGTAAATTGCACAACCATCGTAGGCCTTGAGCAGCAAAGAATGCAGCTTTCAATGCAATGCGTGAAAACGTGTTATTTCACAAAGCCCTGGTTTTGGGAGGCATGAGGTTCCACGGGAAACGTTTAAAAGCCAACGCACCGATTAGGGTGCGTTCCTGGGAGTGGGATACAGATCACCGCACGGGTGGACTGGGTGATATTTTTAAATTTTTATTTCCCATTCCAACCTTTTTAAAAAATTGATTGCAGCCGAAACCGGTGTGGCTCAGTGGATAGCGCGTCGGCCTGCGGACTGAAAGGTCCCAGGTTCGATTCCGGTCAGGGGCATGTACCTGGGTTGCGGGCACATCCCCAGTAGGAGATGTGCAGGAGGCAGCTGATCGATGTTTCCCTCTCATCGATGTTTCTAACTCTCTATCTCTCTCCGTTCCTCTCTGTAAAAAACCAATAAAATATATTAAAAAAAATTGATTGCAGAGAAGAAGGGAGAGGGGGAGAGAGAGAGAAACACCCATGATGAGAGAGAATCACGGATCAGCTGCCTCCTGCACGCCCCCACAACTGGGGATCGAGCCTGCAACCCAGGCCTGTGGCCTGACTGGGAATCGTACCGTGACCTCCTGGTTCATAGGTTCAACCCTCCACTCCTTAGCCACGTGGGCCGGGCAGAAATATTAGTCATTTTCTTTCTTTTCTCCACCTTAAGGCTTATTGTCTTCCTCGGGTCCCCGCCAGCTGCCACAGTCATGTATGATGTCATCTCGGACCACATGGCACGCCCTCCTGACCGCGCCGTCTCCCCACATGTTATTCTGTTATTTTAGCGGGAGCCGCCGGCGTGGCTTTAATTCCTCTCTCCTCTCGGGCAGCCTGTGGTCTGGCCACGGGGCTGTAAAACCAACCACAGCTCATGAAAAGGAGACGACGCAGCTCGGAGCCCGACGGCGCGTCAGACCCACCGACGGTCCTGAATTCCAGGATCCCAGGGCACCGTGCGTCTGGGGATCGCAAATTCTCGGAAGCGCAAGATTTCGAAAATTTGTTCTCAAAGAATTCCCAGGGGCACCCTCCTCCTGCCCCCCAAAAGGCCCCGTTAATGTCACCCATGAATCAGCAGGGAGAGGTGGCCAGGAGCCTGGGCTTGGCGATCAGACAGACTGTGGTTAGCGGGCCCGGGGGCCAACGGGCAGCTAGGGACCCGTCAGGTCTCAGACCGTCTCCAAATCTTGGATTCCTCGTCTCCGAACAGGGATTATATCTGCCTCCAAATAAATTAGTTCATGCACGAAAGGAACTCCACTTAATAAGTGCTTTCAGTTTTCTATGTTTTAATATATTTTATTGATTTTTTTTACAGAGAGGAAGGGAGAGAGAGAGTCAGAAACATCGATGAGAGAGAGACATCGATCAGCTGCCTCCTGCACCCCCCGACTGGGGATGTGCCCGCAACCCAGGTCCTAGTTTTTAAAAATATATATTTTTCTTGGTTTCAGACAAGAAGGGAGAGGGAGAGAGAGAGAAACATCCATGATGAGAGAGAATCATGGATCGGCTCTGCCCGCCCCACGCTGGGGATGGAGCCTGCAACCCGGGCGTGTGCCCTGACCGGGAATCAAACCATGATCACTGAGCCACGCTGGCAGAGCAATGCTATTACTTTTTTAAAGTTGTTATTGTGTTTCTTGATTTGTTTTGCAAGTTGTTGGTGAACTTAAGAATATATATATATTTTCCCCTAGCCGTATTAAAATTACAGTTAACTGCCAGGCCGGTGTGGCTCCGTGGTTGAGCGTCGACCTATGAACCAGGAGGTCGAAGTGTGATTCCCCGTCGGGGCACAGGCCCAAGTTGGGGGCTCCATCCCCAGTGGGGGGCGTGCAGGAGGCAGCCGATCCGTGATTCTCTCTCATCATGGATGTTTCTCTCTCTCTCCTCTTCCTCTTAAAAAAATACATATATTTTTTAAAAATTAACAGGTTCTGATTTTTTTTTCTTGCCATAAGTGCAGTAAAGTACCTGAAATCATTAACGCCACTTTCCAGGTGAATAATGAAAGATGGTGAACTATAAACCTGGCCCCCTCCCTACCTCCTCCCTGCACACGGGCTGCCCTATTTTCACTTGCCCACAATTCCTTTCTCGTCACCCTCGTGCATCACACATACATGTGCACGTGTAACACACGTGCTCTCATGTACCCTGAAAATGCGATCATTGGATACTTAAAAAAATGCTTATCTCACCTGGCCGGCATAGGATGTAGTTTCTTTAAAAAAGAGACCTACAGCCGAAACCGGTGTGGCTCAGTGGATAGAGCGTCGGCCTGCGGACTGAAGGGTCCTGGGTTCGATTCCGGTCAAGGGCATGTACCTGGGTTGCAGGCACATCCCCAGTGGGGGGTGTGCAGGAGGCAGCTGGTCGATGTTTCTCTCTCATCGATGTTTCTAACTCTCTATCTCTCTCCTTTCCTCTCTGTAAAAAATCAATAAAATATATATATATAAAAAAAAGAGACCTACAATACATTTGTCCTGTTGGCAGATAGTCCTTAAGGCTGCTTACAACAATTCTAACTTCTGATGGGCTTGCTTGACCTATAGATTGGAAATACTCCGTTGAGCCCTGGCTGGGTAGGTCAGTGGTTAGAGCCCCGGCCTACTACACCAAGGTTGTAGGTTCGATTCCCGGTCAGGGCACAGACAAGGAGCTTCCAATGAATGCATAAAGAAGTGGAACAATAGCTCTAGCCAGTGTGACTCGGTGGATAGAGCGTCGGCCTGGGGACTGAAGGGTCCTGGGTTCGATTCCTGATCAGGGCACATGCCCAGGTTGCAGGCTCGATCCCCAGTGTGGGGCGTGCAAGAGGCGGCCGATCCATGATTCTCTCTCATCGTGGATGTCTCTCTCTCTCCCTCTCCC